TTAAAATAAAGCACTCAAAAATAGTGCATGATTAAAGAACCGAAAGTGATTTGCCCCCAAAATTTTAAAGTGTTCAATTTAATTGATCGAAATTTTGAACTTCACTAATATCTTGAAAAACTCTTTTCTTCATTCTTAAAAATTATATACTGTTCAGAAAAAAATAGTATATAATTAAAATGAAAAAAAAAGAAGTAAAATGAACTGTCCAGCAATTTCACGAAACACAAAAGTCAAGTGAAATGATTGTTAACAATAGCTAATATATTCTTTTCATTTCATAATAGTAGAAAAATAGAGAGAGAAAAGGAACTAAAGGAGGGCAGAAAGGAGTGGATGAGTAACAGGTAAAAGAAGCATTGACTTGACCAATGAAGGGTTGGATCAAGTGGTTAGTAGTTTGTTTCATTTTAAATAAAATCTCGAGTTCGAAACTTTGTGTACGCAGCAGCTTTCGTTGGGAGACCCACTCACCATTCTGATGCGTCACAGCTGGTCGAGTTCAGAATAATTAAGGCGAAGTCCTAGATACCGGGTGAGAAACCAAAAAAAATAAAAAAGAAGCATTGACATGTGTAAACCAGAAAAGGGAAAAGTTTGAAACACGGACCCCTAAATGCCAGCTAAAGAAAAGAAGAAAGAATGGTTAAATACGTAAATAACCATTTTGCCCCTCAGTACCCAATCCTGGAGGGAAGTTACAGAAGGAAATTGATGGGTAAAAAGGTGATTTTAAATACACAGAGATGCACCATGGATGTTAGGGACAGAGGGTTTAGGGTAAAAAACCGCAATGCCCCCAAAACAGACCTGAAACAGCAAGCACACTATTTGAGCCACTTTCAAGATCAAATGGTAATTACAATGTGAAATTTGAAGTGAGGGAAATACAACACTACCCCAACTCGTTTACGGTAACAATAATTGCCTCACAAAAGGTCTAAAATTGATTAGGACAAGCAAGAAAGTCAGTCAACCACATGATAGTGGTATGCATTTCACCTCTCATTTTATGGTATAAAATTTTAAGATTTTAAAATTTTAATTCCTAAGTTAATGAAATTCATTAGCTTTCAGTTAAAATAAAAAATGGCGGTGATTTTTTGGGCCGAGCTGTACAGTGATAGTCTATACTTTTGTTGTTGAAAACTTGAAAAGAACAAAAGAAGTTATTACGGACGGATGGCGATTGTGAGCCTGTGAACCCATTGGTCATGGGCTTATGATTGGGTCCAACACCAAAACTGCCCCAATAGGCCTATTTAATTAACAATAGAGTCCGAGCCCACATTATCATAGTGGACATAAGAAGCCCAAACGAAATGCTGCTGCTAATATTATCATAGTGTAAAATTGTAAATATCCTTTTCTAAGTAAGTTCACAGTGTAAATAAATATGTAAAAATGGGAGGGCTTGGATTAGATATTTCAAAATAGCTCAGCCCAACATAATAAAATAATAAAATTAATTATCATTCATTGATAGGATAAATCATCATCTCAAGTTTGATGTAAAAGTTAAATTGGACAACTAACTCTGACTAGAGGTAGTAATTGCCTTAAAAACAAAATTTTCTCTTATAAATTCAAATTTTTGTTAGGGAGAAATAAAAAATTAACGTTTAAAGTTTTCTTTTTATTTATTTTAAAAAA